ATCAAACACAGGGAAGATAACTCGCAATTTTGTGGGCATATAATAAATGTTCTAGGGGAAATTTTATATGCCCCTGTGGGCCAATAAGCACTCCGAGGGGGAAAATGACGTTATGTAGCAATGTGGGGGTGTTTCGTGGGATGCACTAACGCAAAGGTTGTTGTCTTCAACTCGCTCTCACGCCGCTTCTCGTAAATGTATATGAATGAAACTGGGAATAGTCACTTCGCTTTCTTTATTCCCTTAAAATTTCATGCTTCTGTGTTTAGTGGTTTTCGCGTAATCTTTCCTGCAGGGGGCCGGGTTTATGTCGCCCAATAAGCCTATTTCTGCACCTCGCCTGCGTTCTGGTCCTACATCAGTCTGGCCCTTGGCTCAGCACGCGCCTGCTGAGCATCATCTCCCGTTCAATTCAGGTCCTGCGTCGCATCCGCATTCACGCAGCTCAAGTGTGTGCGCATCAGTCTGCTTGAGTTTGTGTGCGTTCGTGGCCTTCTTCTAGAACCACTTGCGTTGGTTCGTAACCGAGGAATACGTCTCATTCAAAACACGCCAAGCTGGTAGCTCTAGATGTTCGTCCAATGAAATTATAGAAGAAATTGACCCACTTAGACATGAGGAGCTCAAGAGGATAGTCAGGAAACGAGACTTCCATTTTTCTACACAAAATCTTTCACATGAGCTTGATTTTGTATGAAATGATACTACCTGATAAAATATAAGCTTGTTAGATAGTTTTGAATACCATTGTGCAAGTAAAAAGAACAATTTGAGTGCAAAACATTAGGAAATTGACCTATAATATCCCCTTTTGAACACCAGAGCTTCTAGAAGGGTTATTCGAATGGACGTAACTACTCGTAATGTCTTATCAGCTTATGAGAGGGGGTTATTCATGTGTTAAAGTTTGTAACACTTATAGATAGAAAGCTAAGGAAGATAGAGCGTTATTTTCATCTTCGATTAACAACACTCCCACGGTATTCATGGCGAAAACACAAGTTTCCAGGTGCGCTCGCTGTTCACCAACAGTACACACTGCCCCCCCCCCCCCCGATAAACAAAGCGCAGAAGAAATAAGCAGCAGCAGCATCAGAGCACCGCATCATATCACTTTACCGGTGTGCCTCCTGGAAAAACATCGCACCAAACGTCTTGCCACGGTAAATATACACGACCTTTGATGCCATGCAGTTGGCTATGTATAGATCATGTAGTCATTTCATCAGCGGGGTATCCCAGTCTGACGTCTTGCAAGATGGCCGCCTTACCTAAAAATAGTTTGCGTCGTTCTACATTTAGTCGCATGTATCACTCAGCAACCTATTATTACGTCCGACGTTCCGGGCGGGCCGCGGGGGTCACTCAGCACTCCTGTACCATTTGCGGTCCCATTTGTTTTCGTGACGGTCTTTGTGGAAATGAATCTAAATCTAGATAGCCTAGATTAAATAATCTATCTCTAGATCTAGATCAGATAGAGTAATTTTATTTCAGTTTGGATCTAAATTTAAAGAAACACGCTACAGGGGCACGAAGTGCAAACGGGACTGCAATTGTACAGGAGTGCCGGTCACTCAGCGTGTGCTATTCATGTACAGCGAGCACGCCTGGGAACATGTGTTTTCGCCACGAATACCGTGGGGGTATGTTTAACGATGATGAAAATAACGCTGTATCTTTTATAGCTTTCTATTTATGAAATGTTAACGAACATGCCCATCGGAATAACCTTTTTTTTAGACGCTTTTGTTCTTATAAATGATCTGGGGTTCGAAAGAGGATAATATAAAAAGACCTGATCTAGGTCAATTACCGAATGTTTTGCTCTCAAATATAGGCCTATTGTTTTTTCACCTACACAATGGTATTCAAAACTATCAAAAATAAGCTAATTTTTATCTGGTAGTATCATTTTCATACAAAATCAAGCTCATGTGAAAGATTTTGTATAGAAAAATGGAAATCTTGCTTCCTCACTATCCTTTTGAGCTACTCACGTCTAAGTTTTAGTCTAAGTGGGTCAGTTTGTTCTAATTTCATTGAATCAACATCTACAGCTACCAACTTAGCCTGTTTTGAATTAGATGTATCCCTTGGTTATGAACCAACACAGACGGTTCAAGAAGTAGGCCACAAGCGCACACAAACTTAAGCTGCGTGAATGCGGGGGTGTGATGAGTTACCCGAACGGAGTAGGGATAATGCTTGGTGCATGTGCGCTGAGCCAGGGGCCGGGCTCACACGGGAGCAGAACGAATGCGATGGTGCCGAAATAGGCTTATCGGGCAACATAAACCCGGCCCCCGCAGGACCAGGGTTAAGTGTCCCCAAAACAACTGTAGTCTCAAGTTTCTTAAAAGTTTTCTAAGTTTGGACACTGCAACTGCAGTTTTTAACTCCGAAGGGGGTGGTCCCATTATGCTGGGCCTTTTTTAGTATTAAATGTAAAATTGACCACAATGTCATTAACAGGACATTAATTCAGAACAAGAGGAGCTATTTTGATAGTTCTTCATCTATGAAATAAAATTGAGCTCCTGGTAACTGTAAAATTGCCGAAAAGTAAGCTAATTTGACGTCAAAGTAGTTGTAAAGGAATGTGCCAGAGCTGCTACCAGCGGCTGCCAGTGACTTTCTGGAGATAAGGAGTTAATTATACCTCTTGCGGCTATTTACAGCCCGTCAGCCATGCTCTGATTGGTTGTGGATGTGTTGTGGTTCCAGTTTCGGCAGTTTGGTAACTTTAAAAAATTTAAAGTAGAATATATTAAGGGAAGAAATAAAAGATTTCTTTTCGATTATCACTTCTTTTAGCAGTTAGCGTAAATCTACAAGTGTTCCGTTACAGCCTCACATCTGCAAATAATTCATCAGATTGATAAGTGATCTAAAGATGAATTGAAATACAGTCAAACCTGCCCTGACGGCCACCTGTACAAACGGCCACTTTCCATTTCCCCCCATGCGTTTTTTCTATATAATTTAAAACGGGCACCTGTACAACGTGGCCGCGGCAACAATATTTTAACACACAACCCCTATAACACTAAGCAATAACACCTGTCTTAGACTGCCACCTTAGTGACTCCATTACGTTTTGTCTGATGGGCGAGCCGTCATAATTCAATACTCTGTTGTTGTTGTTAGGTAGTCCCTCCAACCGATCATGTTGCATAGGCCCCTCCCACTGTTGACCAATAGGTACCAATTTTCAGCTGCTGGTGAGGTAAGCGTGTGATCCCTCATAACCCATAAGCCCCGCCCATAACTCATACACAAATCGTTAGTGAGTTGAGTGGTCACTGTTTACCCAGTCTGTAACAAAGTAACAAAGGACATCTACATGAACTTGCGACAGAAGCGTCACTCGTTCCTCAGGCGGTGGGGACCCATGTCACATGTGTTTGTTTAATAAGACACTCGGTCTTCCTCGTTTGATACATTTCGTTTTATTGTCACCCTTGCACAAAATCAGCAACAAAATAAAAATTACAAACAAAATACAAACCAACAACAACAAAAACAAAAACAAAGCGGCTACTTTCCATTGGGACCTCAGATGGGGATGGTTTGTTTTCTTTATCTTGATTAGCCCTGCCTAAGACGGCCACTTTTTTCCTTGACAATGGGTGACCGTCTTACACAGGTTTGACTGTATCACATATATGCACGCGCGCACACACAGTAAATTTTTTTAAAAGTCTAAGACCCAGAAGAGAATTTTTTTTTTTGGTAAGTGTTTTACAGCGCTCGCCACTGCATAAGGTCATATGTGCATGCTGGACACGTTAAACATTTTGTTGGTAGGAAATTTTGAATTTTTCCCGCGTGGCGGCCGAAGCCTACTCTTATCCGTTTTACACCATCTAGGGATCTTTAAAGTGTAGAACTTGCACACGGGACCTATGAGATTTTTCGCCCTTGGTCCGAGAAGGCTAGGTGTGGATCTTTCCTACCTTTATAGCAATGGCCATGGTATAGCTTAGTCTTTAGTTTTGTTTTAGTAGGGGTTTTACGGCGCTCACAACTGCATATAAGGTTATGAGCGCACAGTCAGGAGGAATAAGTTACCTGCACAAGATCTTAATGCCTCATTGACATGTCATTTTTAAGAAATCTCTCAGTACATTTTTATTTTTATGGTCTATACAAAATGAATGGGAGACTGATATTGACCGGTTAGTATTTGGAGTCTTAATGAATGACAGTCAGTCAGATGTGAAAAGTCTACATTAAAGGTTAATTTGTATGAAAGTTAAAATGGGTTTTCATACTTTTCTCCTTTGAATAGTCACCAAAAAGAATTTACAGGGTGTTTTTAAAGTTTTATAGGGTCTGAGTATGGAAATATATGTTTCTGTGTCTGTAGATATAATGTGTTCTCAGTTTTAAAGTATTGAGTTGTTGATGCCAAAGAAAAATTTCAAATTTTTAAGACCTGATTAACTGGTTGGAACGAAGCCTCATAGTTAATTGGAGAGATGTTTACAACAACAAAAATTTGACCTTGTTGCAGGTCTGCTTTCAACAGCTTGAATTTCTTGGATGCAGAAAAAAAATGTGTATCAAAGGTTAAGAGGGCTTTACAACTTGTTCACATCTTGACCCCCTGCATGGGTTATCTGCTTTTTTGGTTTTGGAAAGTTGGCAGCTATGCTTATATGTTTCTGACGAAGTATTGCAAGAAAAGTTTTTTTTTATACATTGGCCGGGGGGGGGGGGGCAGCTGGGAAGCCCTTGAATAACCAATTCTCGTCAATTATTAAATTATAGTATATTTGTTTGTTTCAGGTGCTCAAAAAAACAAAAAGAGGAAGTTGTCAGATTCTGGCATAATGGCTCCCTCACCACAACAGAAAAAGCCAGGATTTTTCACTCCTCAGGCTGGTAAAAATGCCAATAAAGGGAAGACGCCGAACAGTGGCAAACCTCAGCAAAAAGCTGTGACCCCTAAACAACAAAATGTGCAGAAAAAACAAACTCCAAAACTGACACCAAAACAGACACCTGTCCAGCAAAAGAATTTAGTAAAGGCCAATAATAATGGTAGCAATAAAAAGCCAGTAGCAAAGAACCAGAGTGGAAAGAAGACTCCCACAGGCAAAAAAGGGGGGCAGATGGTAATGCAAGATGATGACGACGATGAGGAGGAGGATGATGATGACGAGGATGGTGAAGTACTGTTCAAGAAAGGGGCGTTATTCAAAGGTCTTCTTCAGGAGGGCGATGATGATGACGACGAAGACGATGAGGATGACGACGACGAGGATGATGATGACGACGATGAGGATATAGAGGGTGAAGATGACGATGAAGAGGACGACAATGATGATGAGGATGAAGTTGCTCCTCCACCATCAAAAAAGGCTAAGAATGGAAATCAAGCAGCTCAGAGTGGTAAAGAAAATAAATCTGTACTTCAAGCTACCCCCAAACAGCAGCCACAGGAAAAGAAACGTAAGTTTACACCGCGGCAATAGAAACTTTCCACTCGTAGAGAAGCCTGTATAGTGGTTATTAAACATATTCCCTAATATAGAAACAAAAATTGGCGTAGACGTACAGTTTAATCCGCTTATATTGACATGCTTTGGAAAGTGGATTTGATGTCGATATATAAAAATGTCAATAAATGAAAATATAAAGCTAAAGAGGGAAAACCAAGGGAGGTCATCGGTGAAAAGACAACTCTACTTTTTTAAAGCTGGTTGCTTCCCTTGACTCTTACACAACTACATAGTGAAACTAACAAGAGGCAGAAGGGGGAGGAGGGGTGTTGGTGGAGTTACGGTATCAAAGACTGAGCAATGCAAGGCACACACTACACACCAGCGCAGACTTTGTTGTAGCGTCCTTATAAGGCCTGTTTATGGCCGCTTGCTGGGGAAAATGGAAAGGTGAGGCACTGACTAGCTGGCCGTGGCATTTGGCAGCAACAGACTGAGAATGAGATGGGGAATGGGAAGTGAGCGATCGGGAGTTAGGGAAGGGAGGTGATGCCCAGCATGCGAGACGCTCTGAGGCACTGTACTGATTGTTGGAGACTACACTGTGTAGACCCTACATGACTTACTAACTAAAGCCTTGTGTGTCGAATAAGCTGCTTGGCCGGTATGTGGACTTGATGAAAAACTAATGCGTTGACCGTTAGTGTACTTTTCCCCCCATTTATGTTCGTGGGCTTCGCCAGGTACCCAGGAAGGGTGTCGATAAAGCAGAGTGGGCAGTGGGAAGAAAAAAAGGTTGATGTAATCAAATTGTTTTGTGAAGTTGCTGAAGGAAAAATTTCACAATCGGAAAATATGTCAAAATGTCGATATATCGGCTAATACTGTATTTCAAGAAGTGTGTTACGTTTTGTTTCTTGATCATGTCTCATATAGTGGTACAGTGTTAAGCACAAACTGGTACCCGTTGATTTCAAAATTTCACATCAGTAGCACTAGCAGGCATTATAGCCCCTTCTAATGATGCAAGCTTGGCATGTTCTGCACATTGATCAAGTCAGTTTTTTTGTTTCTTATTTTAATTAATTGTTGGGGCAGTCCATTCTACTCTTGAATCAAAGCTTGTCCCAGTTGTTGTACAATGTTAATGTCGTTTTGGGAGCTCTCTCTTAGGCCCAGTCAGTTCAAGCATAATTTTTGGACAGATGGCAAATGAAATGTTGATCATTATAAGGCCGCCTTGCTCGATGTCCGAATGTGTTTTAAGGCCATAGTTTTTTCTTTCTATCGCTAACGCTTCCAGTGTCTGTATGAAACTGACGTGCAGAGCTGGACGCTGTGAGAAAGTGATTTCAAAGATACCAGAACAGTATCTGTTTGTCTTCGTGGGCAGTATCGACCTGTGATCTGCATGAACTGGGTCTGTCAGGTGTAACTCCGGTGTCTTGGAACCTATCTTTCAGGATATTGATGGTAGGGTGGGTGCAATGAAGCATTCGCGCCACTCTACGGGTCGATAGTTCAGCTTACAGTATTCAAATTGTCCAACAGCGCTCCTCTGGGCTTAACCTTGGCATCTTGTACAACAATTTAAGACGACAAAAACCAGCTGGATTGTCTATGTAACTTTGGGGGGGTTTTTCGGTTCTAAAGTCGCTGATGTGTTGATCTAAACACAGTTTAGATCTCATAATTTCGGCGGAACTTAAGTCACAAAATGTGTAAATATTTGCACGTTACCACGTCGTTAAATTTTTGTTCAGGAAAAAATCAACGCGGAGTCATCTTTGGGTACATGGTGAGTGATATGCAAAATTTCGCTCACTGACTCACATGAACAAGGGAGCAGTTACAAAAACAAAGTGGACTGTTTCTATTGCCGCTGAGTATATGTTTTTTATTGCAGCTAAAACCTTGCTTCCTTTTAGTCAATTCAGTATGCCTATGAAGTCTCACAATTTATTTGCCATGATGTTGATAATGAATGTAGTTCTTTCAGCGCTTGTTATGGGATCATATTGCTATTTTCTCACAATAACTTCATCCCGTTTGATGTTTCTCCTGTGTTTTACTTCTTTTTTTCTTAAGTTGCTGGAATAAAAGTACTTACCATCAGTCAGAAGGTATATACATTGTGTAAAGTTTATTTTTTGGTTTTACAGTGTCTAGAAGTCCACCAAATATTTTGAGCTTAGACTATTTGGACTTTAAAAGTTTATTCCCATTTGTTTTTGTGCCAGTTTCTATACATGATATGTTTATTCAACTTTTTTTTTTCAGCCCAGACGCCTGTTCCTAACTCAAGTGATAGTGCGCGGATAAGTGAGTTGATGTTCATGTTTCCTCTTTTTTCCCCCAATTTTTACTGTAAGCCTTTTTGATTGGAAACAAGGTACTCTTTCTATTAAAAGTTTCTCACCCCTGTAACAGCTCTGCCATAAGCTAACAAAATGCCTTTTTGCATTTTCAGTGCAAACTTTTTAAATTGGCTAAATCGATAGTCTGATCAGTGACCTAATTGTGTGAAAAAAGTCTGAACTATGACTAGTTTTTTAATAAATTGGCATCCAAGTTAAGGGAGAACACCTTTTTTAAATGGCCACTCTGACAAAAATGCCTGTTTAACTCGAAACGTGCTGTGAATAAGAAAAGGGAGTCTTGTCAGCGTATGGCAGAACTGTTGTATCCACAGTTTAATGCTGGCAGGATCAGTGGATGCTGGGGTTGTGCTCTCTCAGCTTTTTTAAGCCTCTGAACCGAGGGTAGGTGGGCTTGAGCACCAAGTCATTGGCAGTAGAAAGTAGAAAAAAAGCATGCGTACAATTATCAAACTAGTCTTTACTTCAAGTGTAATACTGACTCTTGCCATGTAAAAAAAAAGTGATAATTTTCTTGTCTACCTTCAGTTTTTAACCTTGCAACTCTTATATACGGCAACAGTAGAGGGTGAACGGGTTTCTATGTTTTATATTAATAAACTTCTGCAAGACACACATGATAGAGTTGCTTATTTCTTCGAAAAACATTACACTCACACAGTTGAACAACTACTATGTGTAATAAGCTTTCTTCAGCATACTCAAAAGCGTAGGTGGTTAATAGTGGGTGCTCTGGTGTAGTGTGCTCCTTCTTTCCTATATTAAACATCTGTTCTGTGGGTGGTTGGCGGGTGCTCTGGTATGGTTTGCTCCTTCTTTCCTATCAAACATCTATCGTCCTTATCTCCCCTTCTTTTTTATGTTTGTTACTCTCTTGTAACACCTCTAATCTTCTGGTGCTCATATGACCTTATGCAGTTGCGAGTGCCGTAAAACCTCTACTAAAACTAAAAAAACATCTTTTCTATTATATTAGTTAACTCTCTCCTCCTTTTCTTTTTAATTTACTTTCTAGTAACTCATCTAATCTTCAGCATTTGTTTTAAATTATATGACCGATCGTGTTGTGACTGCTATTAAATTCTTACTAAAACTTTAAAAAAGTAATACTGAAAAGCCGTGAGTTTTGCTCCCTGTCAACTTAGTTTGAGAGTTTACAATGATCAGACTGCCTTATGCGTGTAAGATCGTGTGACTGTGACATACATCGTCTCCTAAACAGAGTCATGAATCATAGAACATTTTGATAACTTCAGATATCTCTTTACTTGTCACTTTTGTTAAATTAAATGATTTGATTTTTGTGTGTGTTTTCAAGATGAAAGAGATGCCAAGACCCTGTTTGTTAAAAACATCCCTGGAAATTGCTCTGTGAAACAAATTAAAGCCTTGTCTAGTGACATAAAGCAAGTCAGACTGAGGATCAACGCTACAGTTCACAAGAAATCTGGACGTGTGGGGTAAGGCTGTTTGTTTTCTTACTTTCTTCATATTTTAGGTCGTTTCATTGTGTTTTGCACCTGATAATTTTTATCTCCCCTGTGTTGTCTTATTTTCGAATATAAATGTAATTGTGATAAATTATGGAATAAACACAGAAAACTTGAGTGTAGGTGGTTGCTGGGTGCTCTGGTTTGCTCTTTCTTTCCTATCAAACATCTATCGTCATCATCTCTCCCCGTGTTTTTTTGTACCTGTTACTCTCTTATAAGACCTCATCTTTGACTCTTAATGGTCTAATTGTGTTGCAAGTGCCTTAAAGCTAAACCCCCCCCAAAAAAAAAAAAAAACAAGTGTAGAGATCTGAGTATCTGGACTCTGAAAGGACATTGCTAGGACTACTACACCACATTATGGTGAAGTGTTCAGAAGGGTGAAGAAGGCACATGTTGAGGTGTGTGTTTGGTTTGGTAGAGCTAACACAGGTGACCCTGTGCGCACTAAGTCTACTTTTCCTCTAGCTTAAAATCCTTTTATTCTCTGCTCCTTCACCAGATATGCTTATATTGAGTTTGCAAATGAAGCAATGGCTGAAAAGAACTTCAAAGAATTGGCAAACAGCATGATTCAAGGACAGACTCTTGTTGTTGACTATGTTGGAGGAAAGAGCAAGTTTCAGAAGGACAAGAGCAAGGCTCAAGTTGGTAAGTGTATTAGAATGGTCACAAGATGTCAAAGGCTTTATGGGAGTGGGTTGAATTAGTGCCAATGTATTTAACAGACATGTAAGTGTCCCAATTCCGACCATTTTGACTCCAACCCAAGTTTTTCCGCCCCGCCCGGCTGGCCAGGTTTACGACCAAACGTCTCAAGCCAACAAAAATTTCGGGCGAAATTTACCGTTTTAGCAATATAACAGTGGAAATGCGAATTAAGAAAAAGGCGACACATTTCCGGTCATCATTTGCTTTTCTCTGTGGCTATAAAATGGTGTATGCATCAAATGAAACGATCCGTAAGGAGATGCAAATGGCTGCCGGAAATGCGTCATCTTTTTCCTAGTTCGCATTTCCAATCTTATTTTGTTCATCATTTAAGAAATTCACTTATTTTGTTTCAGCTCCAACCATTGCTAGAATCCTGATACAGAAACAAGTAAAAGAGAACAGTTTAGAATATATTTTGATGTATTTTCCTTTTCTGTGTAACATTTGTTACATGTTCGAACTTCCAACGTTCCAACTCTTGATATTAAATGAATGTTCTTCTCTCTTCATCAGATGAATTTGATCCTCTGAGATTGTATATTGCCGGAATTCCCCCCGACACAAAGGAGGCTGATGTCAGAAAATTATTCCCCAAGGCAACAGAGATCACACTGCCCATAAGGAAAAAGACAAAACAAATGTTTGGGTTAGTGCATTTCTTTTATGGTTTTGTCATATATGAAAGAATTTTCACCATCTGCAACATTCATTTATTGTAACATGTTCTTTTAGATTTACTTGTAAATTTGTTCATCAATTTAAAATATTGTGACTTTTTCTCTTTCGGGGTGGCCGGGGAAGTAGGTGGTCGGAAATTTTTGTCGGAGAAATTTGGTTCTAACAGAAATGGTTGGATCAATGTCTTCAATGAAAAGAAATTTGAGGAAATCTGTAAATTGCCTCAGGGAAGACGCGGGAAAATACATAAAAGTTCTCAAATATTTGAAAACCAAATCCGATAACGCCCGTACGTTCATTTTTGCCAGTCGCTATTGTGATATTCATTCGGCTTTTCCCAGTCTGAGAGTATGTTGGTTTCATGTGAATAGGCGGCTATGGCGGCAAGCGGAAGTGTATGTGTGATACCGAGGCTCGATTGGGAAAAATCAATATCTACTTTCGCTTTCATTACCACCTAGAAATTTGCCGGTAATAGTCTGATAACATAACATTGTAACATGCTGTTTGTGCATTACAAATGCTGTGTCGCCATGAAAATAAATCAATATATTCGTCACTGTGCTGCCACTTGTGTACAAAGAAAAGAAAGTTATACAACCGCCCCCGGGGCAATGCCACTGACTGTAGTGTCTTAAGGCCATTCCCAAAGGGGGGACATTTCTTGTTCAAGCATAGTAGAATCATAAATGGGCTGACTCATGTCATGCTCATAACCGTGCCTGATCTACAACAGGGAACTGCTGCTTTTTCTTTCCTGATCCTTACTATTGTCATTTCCCTCTACTTCTTTTGTATGTTTGTAAAATCCTCTACTATATTTTCTTAAAAAGTTAAACAAGCATCTTGTCGGGCCCACAATCGTGACCAGTCAGTGAACTTGTGCGTTTGTATGTGAGCACTGGCGAATGTTGGGCTCACCAAAGTTAATTTTAAGTCTGAGCGCTGCGAGGTATAGGCCTCTGGAATAGCGGGATTATTTTATTTTTTTTAAGATAGACTCGGGGATGGGGGGTTGAAGGCAATACTAGTGGATAAAAACTGAACTTTGTAGCTAATTTTAGCATTAGCATTTAGAATTTTTATTACTACTAGAGCTCTCTGCAAAGCGTGCGTTGGTGCAGGCCTTACTTGTGTGGAATCAGGATCCGTCATACCTCGTAACCTGTGGGTTTTTTTAAACTCGAAGGTTCACGCTTCATTAGATGGGTGATAATCGCTCGCCTCGGTAATAAATTATACATGCATATATATTGATCTTAAAATCATGTTTTGATCTTCTTGACTTTGTGAAAAGAAGAAACTTTGTGAACTCCGTCACAATGCAGAGTGTGAGTGATTAAGTTGGTTGGTGAAAGTGACAGCATCTGGATTCTTGATCTATGAGCATGGATACACTCAGCAAGATAGTCTTTTAAGTGTAGAAGATTGACAGCCCTTAGCGTACTGAAACCTAGGCCAAAGACGACTTTTTTCTTGTGATATTTGTGACTATATTAAGAGAGATCTAGACTAGATCCAGTATCATGGGAAAGTGCTACTTCATCAACACTGAGTGATTGTCCAACCCTAAATATTCAGAATGATTGATTGAGTATCAAGATGACAAAAGCAAGTTTAGATGTAAGTTTTGTTCCCAGGTGTATATCATCGGTCATGTAGGTGCAAAGGCTTTGAACACTCACATGGTGTCTGAAAAGCATGTGAAATCCCAAACCAGCCAGTGTTGTTCCAAATCTATTCTTAGCTTTACTAAGAACAGAACAAGTACAAGTGTTTTGAGCGATACTGAAAGGAGTACCAACAGTAATAGTGATCAACCAGAGCAGTTGTTGACATGATTCTTCTCTTGTAAGATTTTTTCAGATTCTAAGATGGCTGAGTTTTCAGTGTAGTCGCTCAAAACTTGGCCACCTTGGACTTGGAACATTTAGGATCGCATCGGTGATCAGGTCGGCTTTCCTAAGATGTATACGAAATAGCCCATTCTACTTGGTTTTCTTTGACGAGAGCCTTCTATGGCAAGAAACAACTTAACTTATAGTGTAGTGGTAGGATTTTAGGAGGAAGATTTCCATGGCCACCCTGTCTTTAATCCATTACAAGACGCATTATTTGATTGTATATGGTACAAGAGTGCAGAGCCCAGAGAGTGTACCCGTAGTATAGTATTTGCCAGAGTTGTCACTTTTCTGGAAAATTGAAGTGTGTACGACTTTGTTTCCTTAGTGCTGTTCAGGGTTTTTTGTTTTTCATGGAGTCGACATTTCATTTTTTTGTACAGTCCAGTAAAGTAAGTCAACAAATTCTACCGTATCAAGATAGCATCTGTGTCTTACATCACTGTGTACATATTCTCTGAAATCTCCTTTCTATAAAATCCACCAACATGGTTTGTCATTGTGTCTTCATTGTAATTTGGGAAACTCCACAGGTATGGCTTTATTGCGTTTTCCACGGCTCAGCTGGCCAAGCAGGCTCACGACAAATGTCAGGGCGCAGACATCAATGGGAACACACTTGTAGTGCTCTACGCAAAGAAGAGAAAACCCCAGACTGAGCAAAAGGCCAAGCCTCAGGCCAAAAAAGAACAGCAGCAGAAAGGTTTGTGTGGTGTTTGTTTTTTTCCCTTCATGGTCATTAGGCGTCATTTTGGAATGAAGGCCTGTACAGTTGAATCTCAAGAAATTTTCGATTTGCTGATAATGGTGTGCTTATTGATCTGTGGGTTTGAACATTTTTAACTCATTCGCTACGTATTATTTTCGGCTTGTGGACGATTTTTTTTTCGGGAGAGCGAAAGAGATGATGACTAGTGGGCAGTTAAAAGTCTTTGGGGTCACAAATTCAAATAAATATCAACGTATTATATACCAATATTTTCAGTATGGTTTGTAGAATACATTTGTAATGTTTATTTATGTATTTTTGAACTTTGGTTCCTGTAAGAGGCGATTATGAAACACAGTTTTGATTGGTTGCGGATAAGATTTGACAATAAAAAATTTATAATCTTTGGTGAAATTAAAAAAATATGTCTGCACATAGTCAAATGATACATCAAAATAACCATAAATGAATATAGAACTGGAAAATATTGAAAAGTTTGCATTTATATACCTACATTCCATATTTGTACATTTTGAACATAACATCCGATATTGAAGAAAGAAAAATTTATAATTTTGAAAAACGATCACAAACAGAAAAAAACCCGCTCGTATCTTATATGGGATTATTCAGAATTGCATTTGGAATAAACCTATACATGTCTTGAGTGGCACTTTTTGTGTAATTTCATCAAAAAGTAGTGATTTTGGGGAGAAAAAAATATTTTGACTATTTTGATCTAGAACTAAATCTAGCACTCAAAAATATTGATTTCTCAATAACAGTGCATAGGCAATATGAGTCCAATCGTATCAATATTATAAAAAAGAGTCCTACACTTCTTTAGTGGGCAAAATAATAATAGATTTTGTTGTCTAAATTTACAAAAACTGGTGTCCAGGCTATAATTTTGGCCTCGCGATACAACAAAGTCGGATAAACTATGAAATCGCGTTTCAAAACTGAATCTAAATTTCCGATTTTCAGTGGAAATGCTTGACCCGGAAGTCAACATTATATTATGACCTTTATTTTAATGTGGGTTGGAATGGAATCTAAGCTAAAATTGAAGATCGGTTCTCGGGCCGCCGGGGGCGGCTTAGTGTACCGACGGCACTTTAGCCGCGCCGCCCCCCACGGCTCGGCGTAGCGAATGAGTTAAGTTGTCAGTCAGATTGTGCATAATATAGTTTTTAAAGTCCTTGTTGCAGTGGACTTGTTAAGTGACGTTTCTTTAGTTCTGTCCACTTTGATTCGGGTCTTGGTGATTATTTATAGTACAGGGTTCCCACCAGGTCAGTAAGTCAGGAAAAAGTCAGGAATTTTGTGATGGGTTGGGAAGTCAGGAAAGGATAGGGCCTGTGTAATATTAGTATAGTGTGGCTATCTAGACAGTATTGTTGATCAATCATGAAGAGGAAACATAATTGAATCAACTCATGGCAAGGAATACAGAGGCGAGATAAGCTATTTACTGCCATGGGGGGGGGGGGGTAATTTTAAAGATACCAGACACCCTGGAATGACCACAGGAATTTGAGGAAATCTGTAAATTGCCTGGGGAAAGAACCGGAAAAATACATAAAAGTTCTTGAATATTTGAAAGCCATATCCAATAAAGTCTCTAAGTTCATTTTTGCCTGTCGCTATTGTGATATTAATTCGGCTTTTCCCGGTCTGAGGACAAAAACTGAAATCGGAAGCAAATTTTTACTATTTAGAATTTTGATAACTACTATAAGAGCTCTCTGCAAAGCATTGGTGCGGAATTGGGATCCGTCATGCTTTGTTATTGAACTAAAGTGTTCGCATTTCATTGGATGGGGTGATACTAATTTATCTATATTTTAGCTTTATGTTCAAGATTGGCAGATTTTCAGCGTCACTGCGTCTTGCCCTCCCTCACTTCTAACACCTCTCACACTGAATAGGTCTACTTGAGCCATTCAAGTTATTATTCTATTTTGAGTTTATTATAATCATGCATGACACCCAGACTGATTATTGACAGTCAATATTCTGGTTCTAGGTCTTTTATATAGTTTATGTAGGCTAATATGATGAGGGGAAAATATGAATAAGGACAGACTCAAAGACCTAAGTCACACCATACCCCAGTGCCACTCTGACATGTTGTTGATTGGATATACTGTACCTGCCTGTGCGTGTGTGTATAGTATAAGTGGAGCAAGCACTGTCATTGTTGTGTAACATGTCCCTGGACAATAGATGAGCCACACCCACCCCCTGTCCCTGGAAAATTGAGAAGCTGTGTTGGCAGTCACCCAGTAATATTATCATCTATTGTTTGAAGACTATACTACAATATGTAAATATATGCATTCATTTAAAGACAATTGGAATTTTTATCACTGATAGATGGGCTTTTTGGGGGATCATTTTTTACGTGCCGCTGCCTTATTTTTCCCTCGAATTGGGGTCTAGAAACCAGGATTTGGTTTGGACCCTGTATTTAGGATTTTGCTGTTGCTCAGTCAATTACTGTGAAAGCAGATGTCACCTTTTCAAGGGGGCTCTCGTGGTCTAGAGGTATGGTGTTTGCCTCTCATTCAAAAGGTCCCGAGTTAACCTGTGTCCTGCGTGCTCTTATGACCATATGTAGATGCGAGTGTCGTAAAACACTTAACAAAAATCACCTTTTCATTGCAAAGCCAATACAGTTATATATAATATTTGCTGTTTTAGTGGTTTTTTAAAACTCTTCTCTATTTATGGATTTGGCCATATATTTTTTTTTTCATGGAAAGAATGGGGTTGGGGAAAAAATCAGTAAATTCTTGTGAGGGTCAATCCAATCAGTTTTGTATACGGATGGAAATAAGATCATTCGGTGTAGTTTGATTGGAGATATAATTATATAATGAGTATATATGTCAGGATGTAGTGGAATCAGGCGCTCGTCAATTTTTGGGCATATGGAGGTATTGGTATCATCTTAAAGCCTGTCCATTTGCCCTCCTTTTTAATAAAAAGAATATTGTTTATCTTGGATACAAGTCGAAGTATTTGCGATTAAAGGAGGTGGGGGTCGCCTGGTTTCAGAAGTAAAATTAGCGGGGGGGGAAATGGCTGCCAAAGTTTTGTCATTTCCTTATCTTGAGAATCTGTGGAAACTTATAATTTACGTCTTTTATGCTTTTAATCTAAGTTAACCAAAAATTCAATAAAAATTCCCAAACCTGCGGTTGATATCAACAAGCTGCCTCACATATGATTTCTCATTTGCTTAGTGGCCTATTAAAATTATCGGACATCTAATTTACTTCAAAGAACAATAACAAATTTTACCCATAATTTGAGTAATTTTAGGCCAGCTGGTAGGAATGACAGCTTTATAAGATGCATGACTTGCTGGTTCAAACGTGAAATGCAAACAGTCGCCATTGCATAAAAATGTTCATAAATGTGATTTTGTTAACATTATTTATTTACTGACATTCTTTCTTTTTCTAGCCCAACAGTCGCCAGCAAAGAAAGCAAAAATGGCCCCAGCTAAGGAGGAAGATGATGATGAGGATGACGATGATGATGAAGATGATGAAGAAGATGTAAGTGTTGTGGGGGGGGGGGGGGGGGGCTGTTGATAATGCCACTTGCTTGTTTGTAAATTTTGAAGATGGAAATATATGTTCCAAGCAATGTGCTTTGTTAGCCCAATTGTTTTGTTATTGGTTCAAATTTCCCATTGGAGTTTTCTTGAATTTGAGTTGTTTTTTAAGGCTGCCCAGTCCAAATGGAGACAGGCATTGAATTAAGAGGTCCTGCCTCTTTGATAACATTTCATTCGGTATTGAAAGAGACTTTAAACCCATACAGTAGTCCTGCATGTTTGCCGACAATCGTCTGAAATCTGGCTATAGCTAGGCCCTCTTGTTTTAGTCAATGTGCGAGGCCTGGCCGACTACCAGCGCCCCCTTTTTCCTCCCCGTCGGCTTTGTTGGCACTTTTGTTTTCGTGCCGACGGCGACGATTCCGATATAATTGTCGGAACCTGAGTAGCAATACGAATACGAAAAAGTACAACGACCTAAATTATTTACTTTCAGTTTCGTGCTCGAGCGGCCATTTTTAATTTCGTTTGTTTACTGATTGTTCAGATCATGTGGATTCATTCAAGTCCGACTCACTTGTTCTACTCTAGATCTAGAGATTTATAGATCATTATAGACCTCAATCGAGGATTCATATTCCAATTCTATTGTATCAAACAGTATTATATGTTGTGCTGTCATATTAATGTTGGCAAAACGCATTTCATCAAGTGCGTGAATTATTTACTTAGAGTCTAGAATTCTAGATCTAAATCTAGATCTGGACTCAGCTGAGTCTGTCTGTTCGGAATCAGATGCGGATTTTCGTTCAAGGCCTATTCACTTGTTCTACTTGATCTAGATCTAGATTCGGTTGTTTTTCTCTCTGTTCCCCTGTAACATTGCAATGGGGGCATTCCGAGGCGAGGTTAGCTCGTCTCGGGGTGTTCGCGTCTCAACGGGGAAAAAGAATTTTAAATTGTACGGCATGCTAGATTGAATCAACCTATCTTTTACGGTTGGCATGGTCTAAAGTCATCATAAAAAGCTTTGCAATTATTTAGTCACGCTGCCGACATGTATTCTTAAAGATCCCATGTTGTGATACCATGCTATAAATGAACTGGACTCATCCCGACACCCCTTTTTCGCAAAATCGCAATATGTACACCAAAATTTTAATTATGACAAAATAACTACGAAATGGGTAGTAAATCTGACTGCAGAAATGATTTCTACACCCAAGAACACATCGGGTAGCCAAGTCTCTCTCTAACACTCCAATTAATTACTGAGATATGTCGTCGATTTTCTTACAGAATCTGCTACTGCGAGGTCCACTTTTTAGGCGTATTTTCCTATATGTGGGTCATCCTTATTTTTCCGACCTTTACAACCCCGTAACTTTTTTATTTATAAACCGATTCTTAAAATTCAAGAAGCATAATTCTTAGAATTGAAAATTCTTTCTTAGGTACCAAATGAAAAGGGTTAAAGTGAAAAATAAAATTTTCATTGGCATTGCTAAGCAATGTAGGCCATATTAATTTTGTTTTTTTTAATTAAATGCTCCTTATTTGTTTTGGAGTGCTTTTTTTTTTTTTTTTTTTTTGACTTGTGCTGGCCTTTTTACATAAGGGCCGTTGCAGGTTCTTTTTTGGGGTAGGACCGTAGGGTTTGGGTTGGGGTTAAGTCTCTTCTTTATTGTGTTTGTTGGGGTGGTCGCTCGTTACTCGGAAGTCCTTTCTTCTATGACACCCACAAATTAAAAGCTCGTAAGTTTGGGGGGAGGGGGGTGCACAAAATTTTCAGACAAACTGGTTGAGGCTCACATGCAGGTCTAATACAGTTATCAATTATAGGAGTGTGTGCAACTTATCTTTGTATAGAGTCCTTTGGTATTGTTTACAAAAAGGCTCGAGGCTACATATCTATGAAATGATATATGTGCACATTTCTGAGTTGTTTTGATTCCTAGTTGTTTATTTTTTTGGCAGTTTGATAAGTGCTTGTAGTTTACACATTTCTCTTTCCTCTGTCTGTTATCCCAAAGTTCAAGCAAAATATGAAAATATGACATCCCTCAGAAAAGGGGTCTGGGTGAAGTCAGGTTGTCGAAAATTATACTGCCATGTTTTTTTAAAACTTGGTACAGTCCGTACCGGCTTTAAGCACGTCGGCATAAAGCACGTTTCGGACTCAAGCACGCTAAACGGCTCTTACTGAATTTTTGCTCTATAAATGACACGCCTTTGAGCACGGTAATTTCGACTTCGGGCACGCTTCATTTACAAGACGGTCAATATTTTCATGATGACCCATCGAATCTCTACACCGCAGCAGTGGAGTGTGTTAAGAGAAACTAAAAGAATGCAAGTGAAGAGACACACACACACAAACACACACACGTAGAGCGGAAGGCAGAGAGTAGAGAGATGCACACAGCCGCGTTCGTGGACACAGGATCTAGCCTAGGGCAAAGCTACACACAGACGAAAAAAAATACAAAGAGATTCGGGAAGACGAGAAAGGGAGGCTGGCTGCGATTTCACCTTTGATCCTCGCTATCCATTAATCCTGATTGTGTATAACGCGCTAGGTGGTATGAAGACGGTGGTGTGAATCATGTGGCGCAGTGGTACGCACAGGCAATGTGTAGGCTTAATGTGCTGTATTGTGACTGGCCGTCTATATTAAGTTTTCTTTTCCCATTCGACCACGAAACAAAAACAAATAAGCAAACAGAAACTGCCATTGTGGGTAAAAATAACAGTGCACACTTTTGCGGGACCGCTATAGTCCTACTTACAAACAAAGGGAAATAGCATGGGAAATTTTCTACATGAAAATCTCTGGATTATGTCTACTTCGCACTCAAGCACGCTTCAGCATAAAGCACGCTTTCTCCCGATGACCGTGCTTAAAGCCAGCATGGACTGTATCAAATTAAAAGAAAATTGTGCACATCCATTGCTGTTATGCCATTTCCACATGGCTTCTAAACAGGAACAGTGACTGCTTTGGTGTTGTTAATAACTTAGTGAAACTATATTATCCCAGTTTTTATCAGCACAAAAGACCAGCTAATTTACCAGTCTTTCTGGGGTCAAGCCTTTTCTTTCTTTTTGAATGATTGTCACATAGTGGTAACGTTTTTGTCTCTCTCATTTTCTTTTTAGATGGATGACCAAGAAGATGGTGGTGATGATGATGACGACGAAGACGATGAGGATGATGACGACGATGAGGATGATGACGACGACGACGACGATGATGACGACGACGACGATGATGATGAAGATTAATATATACCTTGAGAATATGGGGATAACATACAATAAATGTTGCTTTTACACAGGATTCTTTTTATTTTGTTTGCTTCTTTTTCAGTCACCTTGCATGAATTACATTTGTCTCTTTTATTTAAAAAATAAATTTATCTACTTTTTGTCAGTGCTTCTGCATGAATGAATGATCAAAGGCTGCTGCAATAAAAAAAAAACTGAGTGAAGAGTTGGTGGTCTAGTGGTTAGGAAAGATACCCTACATGAATTTTCCTCACTTCACCAAGCTATAAACACTGAAAGATCTTGTCAGTTTGTTAGTGTTTGAGCACTTAAACAGCTACTTGCAATGTATGCTTCACGTGAAACTAAGTGTTCTATTGTCAACTTGGGTAATAATATAGTGTAAAACGCATGGAGTTATGATAGAGCTTGCTGTCGAGCAGGAATATGCGCTTATACAAATGCAATTTATTGTTGTTGTTATTATTAATAAGACACCATTTGCTGTTGTTTTTCACCGCAATGGAGTGAGCAGCGAAACTAAATCTGAGAAAAAATTCACTTTTGGCTTCAAGTTCAAGACCTGGCGCATTTACTGGCTGTTAATCCAAATAAAGTTTTATGCATACTGATTGTGTTGCTAGGTACGACAATTAAGTTAAACAAACGATGTGACAGCTGTTGGTCATGTACTGTATTTGGGGTCCTCACGCACCCACAATCACTAGCGTCTCCTTGGAAAGGATGACCCCTTCAAGTGAAAAGAAAATTGAAAACAAGAAACGATCAATTTTGTTGGTGGTTTGCGGGTGCTCTGCTTCTTTTTTTCCTATCAAACATCTATCGTCCTTATCTCCCCTTTTTTAGGTTTGTTACTCTCTTGTAACACCTCTAATCTTCAGGCGCTCATATGACCTTATGCAGTTGCGAGTGCCGTAAAACCTCTACTTAAACAAAAGATCAATTTATGAAGCGTATTCAAAAGAACATCTTTCACCATACTCAAAAGTTGGTGGTTGGCGGATGCTCTGATGTGGTTTGCTCATTCATTCCTAAAGAAAACTCATCCTTATCTCCTCTTTTTCTTTTTTATATTTGTTACGCTCTTGTAACACCTCTAATCTTCTGGCGCTCATATGACATTATGCAGTTGCGAGTGCCGTAATACACTGAAACTAAAAATACTCCCAAAGTTTTGATTCAGAAAGCAATTTTACAGCACTCATGATCCGAACCCAATATTTGCTTGCCCACTTGACTAAGGCTCAGCTCTTTTTATTGCAAAGTTGTCCAGCTGGGCACAATGTACAGTGGAAACTATATATAACAGGCCCGGTAATAACAGGGATCCGGTAATAATGGATTTTTAAAATCCCCGTTTTTTTCCTACTCTTTGTCTCTATTAAAAGTTATCGGCAATAACAGGGCCTCATCGGAGCCCAACCGGTTATAGCAGGGACCAAGGCTCGTCAACTATGAGTACAAAGTAAGAGAGAGAGTAACGCAGTGATGGAGCAAGCCATGCCACTGCAAGCACACGCAGCGTATGAAGGGAGAGAGGGCTGCTGTGTGCTGCAGACCTCGATCTAGCCAGAAACCTAGCAACACGCACGCATAATGTGTCACCAACGATGTCAAGCGCGAGAGAAAATGCCTTTCAATTGACAAAAATACGAAATAATCCAGGCTGTTGACAAAAAGCAATCTCCACTGGCAGAGATTTGTCGTCAGTTCGACATTCCACATGGGTCGATTCACACCATTATCAAGGATAGAGAGAAGATAGTGGCAGCATACTCCAATGAAAAGTTTGCTCTGGATCGAAAGAAGATGAGACTACCCTATGCAGATGCCCTAGACCAAGCTCTTCTGATGTGGTGTAAGGAGGCAAGGAGAAAATTGGTGCCAAAACCTCTTCGTGGGTACTGGTGGCAAGGGAAACTACCCATGAATAAGTACAGCTGGATTAGTCAAAAATGCTTACTTTCCTTTGCATTTTTGATTTAACAGGGATCGGATATAACAGGACATTTTCTCTACTCTCACCATCCCTGTTATATCAGGTTTCCACTGTAGGCTTTCAGTGATCACTTTAATTCCTTAGTAAAAACAATTGGTTCAAGTTCAACAATGCAGGCTGTCCTCGATAAGCTTTCTGGGACTATTCAGCTTGTGCACACATTTTCCCATTTACAATAAATTTGTCGTCAAACGAACAAAATCGGAGTCAAAGCTAGCACACTGGCTCAAACATGTGCAGTGAAAAGACATCTTTTGTTTTTAATGGCCTGGTTAGCAGCTATGTTTATACAGTGGAATCCTGTTGTATAACGAGAGGGAGGGGACCGGTGCGAAACGTCCGTTATACCAGGATTCTCGTTATAAGGAATCCAGTAATAAATTCAATGGAAATAATAAAGTAGGCCTAATCTATGAGTTTGGTGTTCTGTTTATTTTTATTTTTTTTGTTATCTCCCCTGATGATATTGTTCAAAATGACCTCTAGGTCTTACTCGATCAAAAATCAAATTGGGTTTCTTTCTCAAGCGCTAGCGATGTTGACAGCACGGCGTTGGCGATCAGAAAGAATGCGCTCTGGGCTAACTCGCCCGCTGTGTTGTCCCCACAGAATTCTACACTAAGTGTAGAATTCTGTGGTTGTCCCCCACCACAACACACCCTGTGGTGTGTTTCGTCTGCTTGCGCACGTTACTACACATTCACTCCATCCTTCATAGCATTGTGACCTCTCCATCCCCGCATCGGAGAAGTGAGGGAATGGGTAGTGGTAGGCCTAGATAATCTAGACTAGGCTGGCCTATCATCACTCCATGCGTTCTGCTTGTCTGCGCTTACTACACCCTCCCCACTCATTCGCTCCGGCCTTCATTGTTGGCAAACGCGGGCTTTCCTATTCTTTGTTTCGCTCAAGGAGTTGATGTAAGGTCCTAGTCCTAGGTTTCGCTAGATCACCAACAAGTTTCTCACCTGGCGAGGTTTATACGTATAACTGGCCTGTGGGCTGTGCACAGCAGCAGCAATATTCCGCTATAACTGACTCCTGTGCTTGTCCGATTGCGCCATAGCAGTATTTTATTTACAAAGATAAAGAAGGGGGAAAAACGGGGTTTTAGAATAGTGTCCTTATAACAGACTTCTCGTTGTTTCAGGACTTGTGGACTCCACTGTATTATAGAAGTCCATCAACAATCCTGACAACTGAAATCTAGATCGTTGAATAAAGCATGGAAAAAGTCAGGTCCAAAGTTCATCGTAAACTATCGACTCTCTTTGTGCTTCTCAAACTGTCTCGGATTTAAGAAAACGTAAACATTGTTCAAACTTGACTTGCTGAAAGCATCCATGCTGGCTCACCTTGATAATGTTTTTCACGTCTCTAGCTCTGTATTGCTCGTTCGACAAATTCTAATCATAAAATGCATAATAGTCTAGTACAGTGTATGGTGGTATGTTCATAGTGAGCAGATTTTTTGGTCCCCAGTTTATCCCTTTACATGTACTGGTATATTTTTGGTAAACAAAACGTATAGGCTACATAGCGAAATTTACTTGTAGAAAGATTCCTGCATCTCACCGATTTTTAAAGTGGGTACTAAACTAGTAAACTACATGCGTAGTTCTTTTTTTAATGGGCTCTGAAGACATTCATGACAGTTGAATGTCATGATAATTCTGACATCCTAGTTTTCTGCATGGAAAATTTCAAAATTCTGCGCAGAATTTAACCCCCAAAATGACAAAATTCTGCAAGGATTGCGACCATGTTTAAAAACTTCTTTTTCCATACTGCTTTAAATATGTAAGTACCAATTAAATAGGCCTACTGATTAATCATTAGCTGAGAAGTAGCACTACAGACACAGTAAATAATATTTTTTTTTAAACCCAGCAATTAGCAGCATACAATCTGTAGTATTGTTTAAAAACATAAGCATACAACATAAAACACTAGCAAAAGTGTGACCCAAAGATATTAGACACTATACCAGTAATTTCAAAACCAGGTGAGCTAGCAGTTTGAGCTATGCCACTGTGACTGATTGTCAGGAGGCGTTGAAGACAAAAAAGACAATTATGTTGTTTGAGAAAAAAGAAGTCCTAGGAAAATGGATGGGCAGAATATGTAGGAAAATTATTTGAAGATAAAAGACCACCCCTACCACAACCAAGCAACAATTATAATGGTCCCATCATTCCTATGTCAGAGGTAGAGCTCACAATTAGAATTAGAAACGGCCCAGGAGGAAAAGCTCTTGGTGAAGATGGCATAAACACAGAATTGCCCATCCACTGTCATCGATTTACGGGTGTGGTCAAGTATCACATTACACACGCACTAACAGAACAGTTTTCCGCCAAACACATCATGTGTGCTTTGGGTAAACTGAAGCTGATGTTCAGTGGCAAATGTTTTCAACGCATTCTTTATTTTAAAATATTTTTCCATTTTTGCTGAAAGACAAATCTAGTCTCGCCTGTACTCCTATACAATAGCCGCTACTGGTGCATGCACAATAGAATCTGCATAGAAGGCAGTGCTACTGACTTAATAAATGTTTTTAGGCCATTCCAAAAGGGGGTATTAACATTGTTTTTTTTTCTTACAGTAGAATTGTAAATGGGCTGAATTATCTGTCCTCAGAGAAAGTTGCATTTGAAAATAGAAAAAGTTGCAAGAAAAATTCGCAAAAGTTGCGAGACGTGTATAGCTAAAACAATGCCAAAGAATTATTGGAATACATTGTTACTAATATTACTATGCTCATTGCAATCAAAAGTAACCAATATGAGTTTTGTTAGATCAAAATCAGAAGTTAAATGTGAATGTCTACAAAAAAAACCCCAAAAAACTGCAAGGAGGTTGCATGGGGAACAAAAACAGTTTGTACCCTGACACATTCGTCAGGTCCTTTAACTTTGGCTGACGTTAGGCAGGTGTGACCAGACAGAGGATGGGGTAGAGTGCGGGGGGGGGGGGCAGAGAGAGAGAAGGGGGGGAGAGAGAGAGAGAGAGAGAGAGAGGGGGGGGGTAGGAGAGAGAGAGAGAAGGGG